CATTAATATGGAAATTAAAAAATCTGCAACCCTGAGGAAAGTGAAATAATTTTCTAAGAATTAATGAAAGAGATTGGAAGTGAGTGGAGAAGTATTGATGTAAATCGTGTAATGAGAAGTTATCGAGAGAACATTTCTATTAAGGTAAATGTCCCAATTTCTACTCAGTTAAGCATAACTTCACTATCAACCATAAAAACAACGTATGAATCGGAATTTATAATAAAAAGGACTTTCGCACGTGGAATTTAATACAAAATTTAATAATAGGTTCAAATGTATCAAATAAAAAATCACTTACAATTAATTTTTCCTGTAAAACGAAGGCTTTAAGTAACACACCTCTAATGTCCACAATTCTTTTCGATCAAAACTACAGATAGTTTCTAATTCTTAAAATCTAACTGCCTAAACTATATTTATTAAAATCGTAGAAAAATATTTACCAGTTGAAAAAATGGTAAGAGTGAAATAATGTATCTCTCGCACGAGTGCAGAAACATGTTCTTAGAGAGATACTAAAGAAGAGTGACACTAATGCCCTATAGTGGATGGAAGTTTAAGCTAATTTAGTACATTTTTCTTGTTTGATAGAGTTTATCCAATTCTTGGATGGTGATAACTAAAAAATGCAGGTATTTTACTTGTGTTCTTTAAAAATTTGACATATTTATTATTTAAAAGTTGTAGAAAATTGCCGGTGAGTAGAAATTGGGACTTGATTGGGAATCGGGACATTTACCTTACCCCATTGAAACACGGACCAAGACTTAACCAGCGTTTGTGTGTTCAAATGGTAAAGTGTGTTCTTGGTTGCGGTCCAGCTAGCGGATGAGGACTGGCTGACGCCTAGCCTTCTAGTGTGATGGTAAGCAAGTACACCCCACCGACAGGAACAACTTCTACAGCAACAACAACAACAGTTACCACCACCATTATCACCACAACAACAACAACCAACAACAACAAAATTAGCATCGACGCCACAGCGACGACAAAAGCAACAACGCCGTTACCGGCTTGACGATGAAACATATTATAAAAATAAAAAACGAGGGAATTTGCCGGGTTATGTGAGCTAATCGCAAAGGGAGAAAGAAAGACAAAGATATTTAAATTCTTATATATATACATACATATATATATAAAGTTATATATTAAAGAGAAGGAAAGACACATTTGGGTTCCCAATTTTCACGTCCAATGTAACCGAGGAAGAAGAAACTGTAAAAGCTAAGCTGGTTTCAAACAAATCGGAGGTATCCTCTCGTCCAGTCTGTAGAATATAAAACGTAGCGTCTCTCTCAAGCTTGAATTAATAGATAGGCGTTTCACGGTAGTCTCGAAAGCTTCAGTAATGAAACACGAATCCCGGGATACGCGGACCAGCCATGTGATCATCGCTATTTGTAAACCAGCCAATATTTTGTGTCGCAAATGGACTTCTTATAGAAGAGGCAGAGGTTGCGAAGTCGTCCCATGTCTCTAAAAACGGGGGGGTGGGGGAGAGGAGAGAACGTTAATCGACCCGTAACCCGGATTCAATTATTTTTGTAGTTTGGGCTTTAAAACGGTGAAGATTAAATTAATGGAGGGGCGAGTGTGAGAGAGATAATGTGTAACAACGTCATTACTAGGAAGATGTTTGGCCGGCGACTTAATCGTGGAGTATAAATAAGAACACGTGTGCACACTTGTATAAAAAAAAAGATGATATAAATTTAACGGAACAAAAAAAAAAAATAATGGTTATTATTAAACGAAGAATTCAACCGATTAGCTAGCTAGGTAGGTATGTTATAAAAAGTTACTCGAGGGCGATATCGAAATTCGGCGAAGACGAACAGACCCGGAAGTGAGATCTCGGACTCCGGCTCCTGAAACGGGAACCGTCAAACGTACCTTCGTATGTATGTATATCTAATCGCTAAAACCCGCTCGACTCTGGATCAGGGGCGGCGAGCTTCTAACTTCCACTCTCATCGCTCAGATGCTCTTCCACCCACTGACACGTCTCTGAATTTCTTCAAAATTCTTCGTTCACTGCAACTTGTGAAGTAAAATTATTAATTCAATCAAGGATCAAAGTTGAAGTTAATTGCGAATTTTATGTTATCTTAAAATATTCTCAAATGTATAATTTGTGTACTGGTGTATTTTCTGAACTTTTAACACGTTAGATTTGGAGAATGAGAATTCCAAAAATGAGAATCGTGTTCCAACCCTTCAGACCTGGCAACTCTTCGAAATTTGCGATTTTCAGCAATTTTCTTTTTAATGTAAATAATGGCTGAACAAATTTAAGAAAATTCAGAGATGTAGTACTCGTATAGGCAGTACACCTCTGAATTTTTTCAGAATTTTTGCTGTATTACAATTAAAAGTATTAGGTAAGTCCAATGTCATAGGTTCACTTAAGATAGGCCTCATGGACCTTACGGGCCTCCTCCGAATTGTCTCTGCGATTAAATATCGTAGATTATGCTGAGCGAATGGGGGTCACATAGTCCGGAAACGGGGCCTTCGGGCCGCAAGCTCGCCACCCCTCTTCCAGACCACGGGACTGTAAAACGATCCACGCGTCTCGATTCAAATTTTCCCCGCCGCTGCGAGGACTTCTCACCCCCTTCGGTTTATTAGATTTATTATTATCAGACTCGAGGCCAAAATGACAAATCACCGTGCGCGGAGGTCTTCGCAGACAGTCGGCTTCGCGGACAGCCGTTTTTATTATTCGACCTCGATCCTTTCGACACGACGCGCTTAGACAGTTGGATATTTTTATAAAAAAAAAAGAACAAACAAACAAACGATCAGCCGTATTCGCTGAGAGGTGTCGACCGAATTTCACGCGTTCATATCGCGAAAAGTAGTGAAAAAAAGTGAAAGAAAAAGATTAAAAAAAAAAAAAGGAAAGGTGATGTAAACAGTCGGTCGGCTCCGATCAATCGTGTCGGGTCTACCGTGGTGTTTTTAACTTATATATATATATATACGTATATATATATATACCTTAGATTTTTATATAATACGGGATACTATAGAACCAAAACGGGAGGAGGAAATCTCTAATTTAAGACGCTTAAGCAATAAATTGTTAAGCTTAGGGAAATGGAGGAAAACGATTGTCCCAGCGTCTCTCTTATTGTATACTCGCTCTCTCAGCTACTTCAGCTAGGCGAGCCACGAATTCGTAACAACGAAAGATGTACAGGTATTGAGAGAAGAGCACACGGTGGCGTTTTAATGAATTGATTAATTGATATGGAACCGATTATATGGTCTGTCCGATACGACGTCCCGAATTTCGACTTGGCCGCAGTTAAAGCGAGGGGAATTAAAGATTCGAATGTATATGTAAAACGCGTGGTGAACGCATACGCACGCGTACGAAATACGGCTAGGGCCAGAGGAGGTAGAAATGATATGGAGTAAGAGAGAGGGGAATAATCGACGTGTATTTAAATCCGAGAAGAATTTTCTGTTCGAGATTAACAGGTACGCTAGATGGAATTAGGGACACTCCAGGGAGGGACCGGACGTCTACTTGAAAATGCGCCTAAACCGGAAGTTGCATATTCAAAACGCGAAATGTCAAGATTAATAGTGGAACATGAACTATGCTCACTGTCAATACGTCAGTGAAACAAAAATCAACATTTCTAATGTTCTTTTAAGAATAAAGAAATGTCGATAATAATAAAATAATGCTACATTATTTTTTATAAATATTTATTTCGCGAATTTTGTATAAAGATGGAATACGTTAGTTAATTTCCAAGATATAAAAATTCGTAAATTACTTTTCCCAACAATCGATCAAAAATCGTAAAATTCCGTAAGAGACGCTGGAGTCAGTCAATTAGAGGCGCTCCTTCCCGGGATTATTAGAAGGGCACTAGGGTTGTGAGTCCTCAGCAGTACTTCACAACCAGAACAGGCCCGGTTTGAGTTCGAGGACTTTTAAATATAAAAAAAAAAGGGTTACATTATATCCCGCCGAACTTGTCGATCTCTGTCAGTAAAAATCTTCTCAATCTCCGTCACCTGGAACGAAATTAATATTCAATTTGTCCCTCTCTCTGTTACCTTATGAGATACGAAAGCGCGTAAGCGAGCGAGAAACGCGAAAGTCTGCGAGACACTGAGAATTCTCTATAAACAGCAGAAGCGAGTGACGAGAGAGAAATTAAACAATTCGTAGATAGACACATTGCACAAACAGCACGAAAGTTAGATTAGAGAGAAAAAAAAAAATGCGTCGAGTTCCTTCCTCGCGAATTCGTATCCTGTCCTCGAATAATTGACATTTTCGAGAAAAGAAATAAAAATAAAAACAGTCTCTCTCCCTTGTAACGTAATTCCGCCTCGATAGAACAAAACAAGAGATAATTGACACTTTAAAAATAAAAAGAGAAACAGTCTCTCTCTCCTTGTAATGTAATTCCGTCTGAATAGAACAAAACAAGAGAAAACCTTTAGATCCTTAAACCTTCGCCAACAGCGTAGAATCATCGTCCTTAGGCGAGAGAACGGGTTAGGGATTAAGAAAAAAAATTGAACTGGAACGACGGTTTAACAAGTATAACAGGGGACGAAGTAATCCCATCTGATTTGCCTATCTATGATCCCCTCCGCTTCAAATCTCCCGTCGACTATTCTTCTTACTCTGTACGCTGCGGCTCTTTCGGTTTTAAGCACGATCCGATGCTTCGTTTCGTATCGTACTTTCCCTCTACCACTGTCCCACTCGTCGGAATCATCCTTTGACGGCCCCACCACGTCCTTTGTCCGCCCCTGTTTGTACACTGTTTTTTTCAATAATGAAACTGTCTCGTCGTACGAGGGAGAAAATCGAGCTTCGTTCTGATACGATGAAACTCATAGGATTTAGACGAGATATATCGAAGTATATCGCGGACATAGCCGGGGAAACAGGCGAAATGAGACTGTGGGAGACGAGGAGGGTAAAAACTGGATAAGAGGAATGAAAGGGGATTGGGGGACATTGTTAATAATCAAAAGTTAGACGGATCGTGCTTTAAATGAATCAAAAGCGTTCTACGTTTCCGAATCAAAAGTATGATGATCAAAGAATTAATTGGTGTGTAGGAAAGACGGTGTTCTAAAATTAAACGAAAGAATGTTGAGGAATATTTCTGTTCATTTTACAATTCTTATTCAGTGGTTAATATAATTTTTGTTCATGATTGTCATGTAAAATGATAGAAAATGAGCCAGTGGATTGAAATTTGGAGATGAACAGAAATTGTGTCGTACAGGATGTTTCAGCTAACGTAATAATACACCAGCTAATTAACTCCTGTTAATCCTTTATATTATAAAGAAGCTTCTTAGAATTATTATATTATTATATTAATTTTACATATATGACTATATTCGATTCGAAATTAATTAATGTAGCATCCCTCATTCGAAACCATTTAATGTACCATTAATGTGGTATTCCTCATACAAAAGTATTTAAATTATCCTGTGAAGTTTATTCATGACAGAAGACATATTTAAGTTAGCTAAAACGCCCTGTATATTTGCGGTCCGTACGCGCGATGAAATCAAACCCATTTGGGGCAACGTAGAATTTAGGAGTTAATCGGTATAAATTTAGTAATTTCACTGGAAACGATCCGACACGTGTCCACGTGGATGTGGATAAAAATGGTGTGCCTTCAGTCCATCTCGCGGACCACAAGTATTTCGTGCCATTATTAATCCCCCGTAAACGCTGGGCTACCCTTGCCTCGTCGAGAATCATTTCCAAATTGTGGACTTTTAATCAAGCTATTTTTAGTATTAGTTTAAAAGATGTGTTTTCTTGTTACAGAAATGACTTTGCTTGTTAAACGAAATTCCTTGTATAATATTTTCATCGACATACAGTTTTACGTATCGATGAAAAAATTCTTGGTGAGTATACCTAAGGTAAATCTCCCAATTTCTAGTCACTCGCTAACTTTTCTATAATTTTAAGTGAGTAAGTAAGAAATATTGTAGAAACTAGATGAAACGACTGGCGATGAGGCAATGGTGGTCTTAAAAACGTTAAGTATTATCGTTTTATTCGATAAAAGTGAACAAACCGTTTCCATGCCTGGCTTGTAAAAAGTAAGTATACAATAAAATTCGACACCTACGCGTTAATGATCTCATATCGTTAGTGTCTTCCCAAGGAACATCTTTCAGAATTTTTGTCGTTTGTACGTCTAGCAAATTTGTTGTTCGTTGAAATTAATTGCTATTTGACGATTTGTTGATTTGTCTATTATCGAGCCTGTTATTTGCTGTTTGATTTGTTGACTCGGAAATCGGTTCCTCGAATCTATTACTCAGTGGCGTAGCTAGAAATATGGAGCCTTTAGGCAAGCATACTTGGAGGACCCCTTGCCCTTTCTTATCAAAAATAGTCGATTTTTAGGAACTATATTAAATAAAAAAGAAATAAAAATATCACAACACCTAATAAAGCAGTTTTATTATTGAAGCCGAACACAGACATTCGTCTACCCAACATGTAGGCCAATAAATAATATTCCAACGAGTTACTAGAAAAGTTTCTGTTTTCGTGTAAATATTTTTATGATATATAATATGATATATCTGATATGATATATCCTATATTATATATTTCCTTCTCAGTTTGTCCCAGGGTCCCTCCACATTGCAAACCCTTCCTACACAGGAGCTACGCCACTATTACTGTTAACAATTCTATAATTCATTACTGCTTTATTATTAATACTACTTTATTAATAATTCTATTATTACTATTGTTACTAATTCTATAGAAAAACGATTTAATATTCATCTCGTTATTTTCATATAGCAAATTCATTTGAAATTGAAAAACGAATCAAAATAGGTTGTACAATGAACTTTTTATCGAGCGTACCTAAAGAATAATATAAGAACTGTGGCCCAAAGGTATAAAGAGAAATCCAACACCAATACTCTATGTCCGTCGATTGTTTTGTAAATTGATAAAATACGAGAGACGTAAGCTAACAGTCGTTTTTAAAAAGTAACGCGAGGATACAACGAAGTAAATAGAAAATTCGATCGCGAGTAAAATAACGAAAGAAACAAATCATTAATAATTGACGAAATTATTAAATCCCATATTTCATGAATTGAACTTAAAAAAAAAAATGCTCAGCCTAAAAGGACACGGTACCGATCGCGAGGAAGAGACGAATAATAAAAATTATAAGCGAATATATACATACACATACAAAAAGTATATATTATATATATATGTATATACATATATAAATTATACATATATATGTATATAATATATACGAACGTGCAGCGGCGACGAGGGCTGTTTGTTATTTTGAATCGTCGTAGGATTGAAAAGAAAGCGCTGTGCGTGAAATAAGGAAAAAGGGAGGCTAGGTTTTAAGGAACGACGTAGCGATGTAAGCAAAACAAAATATCGTGTACATTATTAGTTAGGCGAACAAACGAACGATTAACAAAAAAAAATAAAAATATAGGATATTTTTCGGGGAAGTGGAATAAGCGAGAGGACGGGAAGAGGACGTACAAAAAAGGAGGTAAGAGTTAGGGTGTAATGCAAACTGTAGCAGGAATTTTAAGGGTGTTGTAGTTAAAGGTTGATTAAACGAAGATGAATCAAATCGTGCACTGAACTCTTGCCTAAATTTTTGGGACTCTGCTTCTCGGCTTGATTCCACTTTAAACGGTGAGAAAGAGGGTCCCAGAACTCTTTTGAAAAGGAGTAAGCATGGTGGAAAGGGAATAAAGGTGTCAGGTCTAGGTTCGGTTAGATTAGACGAAGCAGCCAATAGTGCACTGGTCCAAACGAGAGCCATCATGTTTTATTAACCAATAACAGTTTTAACATTGATTTCAAAAAATCAATTCTCATATTTCAGACATTCAATAATTTTAAAATAATAATATAAATATGTTTAAAGTACTGTTACAAATTAACGAAATTTTTATATTTCATTTAATGTTAGCTTTTTATGTACAATTTATTGCTGATATTCAATTTGAAGTTGGTTCCTTAGTTTTTAAAATGTGTCACCCAATTAAAGACAGTTTCCTCAGTTTTCTAATTTATTTTATCCTACCTAGCACTACACGTCACCATATTTTATTATTTATTTAACTTGAATTCGGATAAATCTTTTACTTAATCTTCATCCAAAATTGGGCTCGTTTGGGTGAGAAATGATCGATTTTGACATTAAAGCCTAAGTAGCACATTTGTGTTTTCCTTCCATCATGATCAGGGACCCTCGACTTGTAAAAAGTATTTGAAGAATGCCGCCTTAAGCATCGAGGCGTGTATAGAATTTACTGAATGAGTAGTACCAAGTATGTGTACTTAACATTGCCTAGGTTAATCGAGCGAAGTGAATCTAGCCAAGTGAAAGCGAGAACGGCGCTGCATCAAAGGAGAAACCAAAAAGTGTAGCATAAGGTGATAAATAGATAATCGTAAGTAAGTAGATAGCACGGGATTTTGGGAAGTAAATAGAAGAATGGGATCGAGGTAAACAGGAATGTGTAAAAAGATATTTAGAGAACAAATGATGCGAGAGGGTGAGGAATGAAAGTGCGAGACTGGTGTATGTCTAGAGTTGTTCTTCCTACTGTCAACGTGATACCAAATTAATGACTCCTCGGATTTAGAAAATTAGCAAAAGAATTTATCTTTACACTGTAAGATTGTTTAAAATTTATGTTATAAACTTTTGTTGTTTTGTTAGAAAAAGACTTAAAGAGACTCTTTTCATACTACGAAGAGGCTTCAATTTATATAGCCTATTGTTCCAACATGTACAATCAGTCTAGATAACTAAAAAACGAATCCAAAAATCCAATACAATCAATTCTTTCTTTTCGCATAAATAATCAACGAGATAATAGTAATAAATAATGCAAATAAATTAAAAATGAACAAATACATTATTATGTTAATAATATTCATTATTAAAATTATCATTAAAATTATATCATCATTTTAATCATGAATATTATTAATATCATAATATAACTTTGTCATTTTTAATTTACTTGCATTATTTACTACTATTATTATTTAACTACATTACAATATTATTAAAAAATATTACAATTACAATGCAATAGATTGCCCGCCTTTATACCTGCGCCAACCAGACCTACAAAGACAAAACCTGAACAGCTCTAGACCGTAGAATGTCAAAAGTGACAAAAATCCATTTATGGTACCTAAACGCGTGTAACTGCACCCAAGGGAAATAAATTAAACTAAGAAACAAAAAAGCGACATACACCTTACACTACAACTGCACATGTAAACGTAACGTACGCGACGCACAAAACTACACGTACTACATACATACATACACGTATTGTAAATACGCAGGGCTCAAGCGAAAGGAACCTATACATCGTTACACGACAGCGTATGTACGTATAATAGAAGAATCGTAGGAATTTAAACGAACCCTAGCCATAGTGACACTAGTCTAGCTTAAACGATTAGGTTAAACAGGATGTAAGAAGAGAGTCGACGATGAAGAAACAAAAAATAATAAAACACGTTCAGCACTGTTGCACCAACAGAGGAAAAAAAGCACGCACAGACATTCCCATATGGTATAACGTGAAATCATGGAAAGACAAGTGTCCCTCCAGGGAGTCAGACATGTACATACATAAAAACTTAAACCGGAAGTTAGATCTTCAAAACGCGAAATTTCAAAATTAACATGAACTACGTTCACCGTCGATACGTCGGATAAAAATCAGCACTTCGAATGTTTCTTTTAGGAATTAAAATGTTTGTAATAAGAAAACAATATTACATTATTTTTTATACATTTTTATCCCGCAGGTTTTGTACAATCGAACTTTGGAAATAGTATATTTACACTTTCATTTTGTCCTCATTTCCGGTTTAGGCGCTCTTCTTCGCGGCTAGTCAGAAATGAAATGAAAGTTCTTTATTGATCCAAAGAAGGGTGTTTAGGCTCTGACAATATCACCGCAGGTACAAGTCAGAGATCATCGGCTTAGTCGCTTAAGTCTCGCTCCTTGGAGGGTCACTGGTGAAAATAACGGTTCGAGGAAAAAAGCACGCACATTCCCATACAGTAACACAAAATCGTGGCGAGACAAGCGAGAAACGTGGCTGCTGCCTTCTTTACCAGAGATTGCTGACATTCTACAGCGTAACGATAAATGTCCGATATTTCGCGATTCCGCGTCGTCGTTTCAAGAATTTTTACCGCCGCGTCGTTTAAGCTTCTGCAAGTTGGCATACCAGCCGCCTACCCGTTATCGAATCACGACATTCTCGCGTTTCCACGACCTAGTTTTTTCTTCCCTTTCTCTCTTCTTTCATTCCCTCTCTAGCTCTATTCTTCTTCCCGCATTTACCGGCGTCTTCGAGTTTCTTTCATTACTACGTATCGCGTCTTTGTGACATTCTTTTGTCCTATCCAGGACCTTTTATTCTTACCCATTTTGTTCACCTCCTGATTCCGTAGCCGAACCTCCCTGATGCCGAACAACCGAGTAGCTCTACAAATGATTTTCTCACACAGAAGAGGGTCTTCTTCTATTTTACTGGGGAGTTGCTGACAGTGAGTATGATAGCTGACAATCATTCGAGAAACATATATTTAGGAATTTTTATTACGTGGCTCCTTTCGTCGACGACTGAAATAATCGATAACCGAGTTCCGGGATAGATAGATGAATGGGTATTTTGGGTCATCGGCATCAGTAAAATCAATTTTTCTTCGTACATCACTGATTCTGTCAAGAACAGTAAATGTCCCAATTTCTATTTACCCACCACTGCTTCTAACAAGTATCACTCATTGTGTCATCAGGTGCGTCACTTGTGTCATGTGGCGTGTCACCCTGTTACATACAGTAAATTGTCCCGATCTCTGTTTTTTCTGTTTCCTAATTTCTACTCGCTGATATATCTCTCGATAATTTGAAGATTAGTGATGACTAGTCTATTATACAGGGTGTTTCGTTTAGCATGGATCAATATCTTACGATTTTCAGGAAAAGAACCTTAATATCCTACGACAAATAAAAAGATCATTGCTCATTCTGAAGCCAATGAAATCTAAAAACCCAAAAACGACAAATAAGAGGATCACATTATTCCTCATCTTGAACCCAACAACTTTATCTTCAGACAATTTTTAATATCTTATGGTAAAGGTAATGAAGATATTATAACGAATCCATGGAATCCATGTTAAA